TACATAATATAACCACTAGAAATTAAAATGAGTACCTAAAAATAATGGTCATCTCATAATCTCTTTGACTGTTCAATCAGGGGTTGCTTGGTATCTCCATAAAAATTATTCTCTCATAACTTATATATCTATTAGAATTATGCGCAAATTTTCAAATTATAAATCAAACATTGTATTTCTTTTATACATAAATAACTTACCTCCTAAATAACTACTGAATATGATATTTTCTATACAAAATTTAATTTATACTTAACTCATCTCTGAATCAGCTACCGAACGACGTATCAATAACTACTTTTTTTAAGTGTTGGTGGAAGATGGGTACTCACAAATGTAAGATAAAAATGAATGTAGTGAAGGGCCATTTAGTGGAATTGTGTAGTGTTATAGTATGTCTATGGTCCCAAATGTCCAACATGTGATTTGTATTTTTTTTTTCACTTTGAGGTTGTAAATGGTTATTCAATCACAATCAAACTTAGGACCATGATGCCCAGAACCCTGGAACTGTCCTTAATTTAAGCTAACATAACATGGACTTCTTCCATTCAATTCCATTTTGAAATGATGTTGTATCCTCTAATTTGTTTTTTTTGTCCTCCTCAACCACCCCATAGTATTAGTCGCTAATAAGGTAAAAGTTCAGAATATTTTAATAAGTCAGAAGTAAGGTGTGTCCGATATGGAGAGCGGTTATTAAATTCTTTATAAGATATTTTTTCAAAGGAAAACAAGCTTTTAAAAATGAAGAAAATGACTTCTTCGATATAAGCAGAAAAAACAAGTTCTACAAGTGATATTCTCACGTTAATTGTGTCACATTCACCCTCTAACACATCTTATCTTCACTCCTCACCCACACCCGAGGTGAATTTGAAGTTCAACTCTATGGGTTCATTTAAAAAGATTTTTGGCATTGAACTCATTTTATTTTAAAGTTAATTATAGGTTCATATCTAGTATTTATTATAATTGTATTGAATTATGCTCCATTCCGAAAGTTATCATGAGTTCAATTAAATCTGTACCCATAAGGGTATATACGTTTATGCCTATAGTACCATTATCTTTTATAATGTTTGTCTAGATTGTATATAAATAGAGTGATTATAATATTTGAGGACATTGGCTATATTATCCAAAACTCAACTGCTTTTTAATTTTTTTCAAAATTAATTCTTCTATATATAAAATTCAGATAAACACATTACTTATCAAAAATATATTATCAGCCTTATATAGATATAAAAAAAAATATGGACCATTTTTAATAGTACTATAGTAGGTCTGCCATATTATACACGTGAGATTCCATAGATTGAATCTTTTTATCTCAATTTATTATTCTTCAATTTAAATATATTGCAAGCCCCACCAATTCCGTTGCCCTTTTCTTTTCAGATAAAATTACAAAAATGATATAATAAATTAAAGACGGATCAAATGACTTCTCTCGTAGAAGTAGAAAACACAAGTTCCACCAATATCATTCCAATTAATTGTGTCCTCTTTATCGTCCAACACACTTCATCTTCATCTCATTTTGTAAAACTCAACAAGGACACACCACATCTCTACCTCCAACCATCACTTTCAAATATTTATTTATATTACAAATAAATATTTTTATTTATATATCAAACATAAAAATAAAATAAAAAAGAGTTAAAAAGTAGAAGAAAAGAAAAAGAGCTTTTTAAATACTAATTGGGAACGTAATGAAGACGAAAGAAAGTGGTTGGTCCCAATAATGTCACAAGGCACAAATAATACTGCACCATGTGAAACAACAGTATAAATTAAACTATATATAATAAAGTATATTGTAGTACTATTTATCCGTATCTTTTCTTTTTCCTTAAGAATCTATCTCACTGTAATCCTTTTTTGCCTCTTATATATCTTTTTTATTTTTATATTAAAATTAATAAAAAAAGACTTCAAAAAATGTCCATGAATATGACCTCACAAAACCAATTTACTTATTTTGTACTAGGAAATAAATTGTTGGACCATTATGGATAGAAAAGACATGTGATTCTCAAATTTATCCTTCTTTTATTGGGTAAATATCTAACTTTTTAAGAGGATCAATCTGAAACTCACAAGGTAAAGGGTATGTTCAGTACAAAAGGAAATGTTTTTTTTTTTTTTTGATAAAATAAGCGGATTCCTTACCTATTTTTTTGTGTTTGGAGTGTAAGTAAAAAAAAATATTATTTTTCTTTATTCTAATTTGTTTATCTTACTTGTTTAGTCTGTTTTATAAAGAATGTATCTTTTTTTTTTTTGATAAATCATTATTTTAATTTTCCATATGATATGTTCAAAATCACAAGATTCAAAAGTATTTTTTTACTTTCTAAAACATTGTGTCAAGTCAAAATCAAACAAAGGTAAAGGATGTGTTTGGTACGAAAGAAAAATTTCCCCATAAAATAAGCGGATTTCTTACTTATTATTTTGTGCTTGATCGTAGTTAAAAAAGAATATTTCTCTCCATTTTAATTTGTTTTTCTTACTTTCCTTTGATTCTTGTTTTAAAAAGAATGTATATCTTTAATTTTTGGCAATTCAATTTTTTTTAACTTTCTTAAATTCCGTGTCAAATCAAAATTAGGCAAAAAAATTGAAACGTAAAAAGTATCATAATCAAGATAAATAGAGGTGTGGGCGGGGATAGGAGTGTCAAGTGTGGGGTGGTGGTCGGGAGCGACAGAGGTGGAGTGAAAATGAGATGTGTGAAGGATGGCAAATACACAATCAATATAAAATATTATTTTTAAAGAAAAAAATTAGAAATCTTTTGTTTTTTATCAAAATTATTTTTAGAAAATATTTTCCACCAAAAAGGTGCAAAAGAGAGGAAAAAAAGGTGTAACTTGTAAGTCAATTTTTCTTCATAATCATCTCTAACTTATAAGTTCATATCACTTTTTAACCAACAACTTATTATTATTATTATTAATTCATTACCCATCTTTTATACAACCATATTTCATCAAAATACCAGGTTTGCTACTTTTTTTTTTGGAATATAAACTCTCTCATGCGATAGATTCAACTCAAAAGATATTAAGGAATCAATCTCGAATTATCAATGTGAATAACCATTCTCCAAACTAACTAAACCATTTCGAACGACCGTTTGCTACTATTGTTACTTAATATCATGCTAATAAATATTTTCCTCTTCAATTAATTAAATACCGACAAACATCTTTTAGGAATTTCGAAAAATAATCACACGCCCTTAATTCATTTGACTCAACAGAAAAAAGGCATTCAAATTAGTTGAAAATTCATTTTCAACTTTTTTGACATTAATTTATTTCAAGTGATTACTGATTATTTTTTTCCTTCCAAACTAGCCGTTTTATCGATGGAAAAATAAATAAAATAAATACAAAAGAATACGATACATGTTATGTAAAGAGTAGGTAGAGAAAGAAATGATTAAAAGGGAAAAGAGAAAAAAAGGAAAATGATTACAAAGGCAAAGAATCTTGTAGAAAAGGGATGAAATATTTGTCGTCCTATAACAATGATTATTCTACCTCTTTATTAGTATTATTATTTGGCTCACTTTATTTATCTTTTAAAAAACTTTGGATAAAAATTATAAGTATAGGGAAGCATAACCATAAACGTTTGAACATGAGTTGTAGTAGAGTGATTAGATTCCGTCATTTTTGTTCAGAAGGTTTTGAAGTATCGCTTTTAGAAATGAGTCGTGTAAAGCGTGAATTCATATTTAGTCGAATTTTAATACGAACATCAAAAATAAAAAATTGAGCAGAAAAAAAAGTTTGAAAGATACAATTTTCAAAATAGAATAGTGAATATATAGTTTGGTGAGCAGTCTGCTTTAGAGTATTTGGACTAAAGCTTAACTAAACCTTGCCGACAGGAATTTCTGTCTCTCCACTTAAATCTTTAATCACTAATTTTAAAATAATAATTAACACCCTACCTTACCCTACCCCCAACCCACCCCACAAATTAGAGCTAGTACCATATACACCTTTTTAGCTAACCTCCCCACCCCACTTTTCTAACTTTTTCTTGAGTTAATTATATCATATTCGAATTTCACTGATTCGATAATTTTAAATTCATCCCAATCAACTCACCACAAGAATAAAAGCACTTTCTATAGGAAAATTCTTTACTTATAGAGCTTAAACTCGAGTCTTTTGACTAGATATTTAATCTATCTTGTATGATTTTTGTCTAAACATATATTTAGAGGATGAAAGATTTTAAAGTAGATTGCCCATTTATATTAAATAGACAAGATTGTCAAAATATTGAATTTATTTTATTTTAAAGTGTGATTGGATGGCATCGATATATCAATACTGATTCTATTGGAGCTTTTCTTATCCCAACCCTCACCATACTTGTTTTCTTCAATTTAATCATATGATATTCGAATTTCACTTACTCGTATATTTTAAATTCATGTTGTAGTTCACGACATGATTTAAAACTGAAAGATTGCTTATTTTCAAGCTCGAATCATCACCATACTCATCGGTGGTCTTTTTTGTTATTTTGTTCTACTTCTACTTATTTTCACCCAACCCATAAAAGTATAGCACAAAATATTGAACTTTTATATAACTATCTTATGAGTTAAACTTAAATTAAAGCAATAAAGTAAAATAATTTAGTTTTATAAGATAACTGCTCGATTTAAAATAAAAAATAGATTCAATACAATTCAACATAATCTAAGAAATGATTAACATAGAATTGTTTTCATTGAGCATCTGCTATCTCCCACCAACACAAGTATTGTATAATTAACTCGGAATGTTTACATTAATTAGATGGTGGTCACTGTGAATTTTTCTTTTCAACATTGAAATTTGAACACTATGCTGCACTCTCAATATTTTGCTTTAAATGGTATAAGCATCATTGTATAAGATTTTGCCATATAGTTGCCTATGGTTAAAAGTACTAAGCATATAGAAAAAGAAGCATTGTACCAAAATCAATCAACAACCTCCTTTTAACCCCACCAAAAAATGATAGTGAAAAAAAAAGGAGAAAAAGGAAATATGCCTTTTATCTCCACATATAGTGCTATCATACTAAAGTTTAACATGAAAAACAAAGAAGATAAGTTCCCTAAAAACACCATAAAATGTGTTTACAACAGTTGTTGTGTGGTCATAGAATCTCTTTTTGGTAGCTTAATCGTAATCCATCATTTTGGACCAGGTTATCCCAAGATTATAATCCCACATTCAATCCAAACGTTCGTATAACAAAGTTAGAAATTTCAGCCATAACAAAGTAAGAGCCTGGTTTCGCGGAAGATGGCATTGAAACATGTCACCACTTTTCAAGAAATGGAGATTTTTGTTCTAACATTTTTCCCAAGAGCTTTCCAAGAATTCTGAACCAAGGGTCTATAGGAAACAGCCTCTCGACCTCACCTTTGAGATAGAGGTAAGGTCTGCGTACACTCTACCCTCCTCAGACCCCACTGTGTGGGACTACACTTGGTATATTGTTGTGGTTGTAGCTTTCCAAGAATTGCTTGATACCTTTAGACTATAGATGGAAAGCAAGTAAATGTCACATATCAAGCATGAGAATATAGTTCTTTCACTGTTCATGAATACAATGGTAAAAGTGAAGTCAATGAAAATGTGGGAGGTGCCAAGTTAAATCAAATTCTAAGAATATAAAGATTACTATTACCAAATTATGATGAATGCATCATTTGAAAGTAAAAACAACGGATAAAATTAAACTATTACCAGGTAATGATGTTTTTTCATTAATGAAAGTCATCCGGTAACCAGCAAAATTAGTCAATCTCCGTTGCCATGTCGCTATCAAGCATCTCTCTTGTGTTGCTTCATGCCGACAGTATTCTTCAACTTTGGGTCCTCTCACAACTTTTTCACAATCATCCAATGACCCTGCATGAACATCACAAGTTAAGAAAATGTTTTAAGTGAGAAGTTACCTAAAGTGAGAAGTTACTTAAATCAACTTTTTCTTTATCCCAAAACAACAACCATTTTTTCAAAAGACTTCCACTTCTTTCATGGTGGGGTTGCCAAGAGTCAGTTGTTGGAAGTGCTCTTACAGCTATAAAGATTGATCAAATGTCCTTGACAAAAAGGGGTTGTTGCTAAAGCTAGCAAAACCTTAGTTGCATAGTTTACATTAGACTGAAACAACCTCAGTCCTTTTATCTGAAAATGTTCAGGTGAAATCGTTTCCATAATATCCTCTTCATCTGTGATCGAACGGTTTTTCCAACCAATCAATAGCTTCTTACCATGGTCTATCCAGAGTGACTAGACCTTGTCAAATACTTCTGAATCAAGAAATAAGCATTGCACTTAAGTCATACTTCAGTTGGTAAATAATAATGAGTTGAAATAGTCTTCCTTTTTTTAATAACCGTGGAGGTCGGGATGGCTTTGAGCGCATCTCGACTAATTCCACGGGATATCTATCACCTCCCACCAACAATAGGTACCAGTTAACTCTGTCCACCAAGGCTAGGACAAATGAAAAGAAATCTCCTAGTGTGTTTTGTGTCTAGTAGAGTTTGAACCTGAGATCTCATGATTCTCAACCCACTTCATTGACCACTAGGATACTGAGTTGGATTATTACTCAGAACAAAAAAAAGGAAGCATCTAGTATTCAAGAACACAAATAAAAAAGAGGGCAAAAGTAAAGTAGAGAATACTAAAGAGGTCGAAAACAAATACTAAATGATAAGAAGTTCTAACTGGTTAAAATAGCATGTTAACAAGCCAACGACAACAGTAATAGCTCTTCACAACTGTAGAATCTCAACAACTAGGGGAAAAGCACTTATTGCTCATACCAGACCTTGCCGGAATGATATTGAGAGCGTGGATTGACACAAGATTGCAGCGGAGAGGTATGGTATAGGCACAGAACCTTCAGCAGAATCTCATCTGTAATAATCTTCCAAGTACAGAATCTCCATGCAATGTTGCATTTGTTAACCAGCTGACATCTATCAACGGAGTCTGAAGAACTGACCATTGGATGCAAATTTATCATGAGAATAAGACCATTCAATGAATCATTTTAAAGGATTAGTTTTGTATAAAACTAACTTCCGGCTCAGCATTAGACAAATTCTACCATTGAAGTAAGACGAGCAAATTTCTGTCATGACTACTGCGAGGTAACTAAACCGGATATAACTAAATAATGACTGTAAAGCTTTAAGGCAAAAACTGAACGAACTTTCATCAAATTAATAGGATCTATCAAAGAGTAAAATTTCTGATCTTACAAGAACGGGAAACAAAAACCTTCCCCTCCACATATATTATGAATTCCAAACTACCTAAGAATAAAAGCAGTACAATACTTCTGTCCTGCAACTTCTCTCAATCAGCTCTGTGTAACCAAGCAAGAAGCCACTGTGTTCATACCGCAGATTATAAGACTGAACTCTGCTTATGCAGAATCAATAATCTTCCATATCCAAGAGCACTACGAAAATTCTTCTTAAGATTAAAAAGTGAAAGCACGTACCACAGTGCGGAAAGAATTTCATTTCTCCAGGAAAAAATTCCTACAGTTGTAGTCATAAATAAGAAAAAGGAACACTACACAGAGGATGTATCAACAAAAACCTCATTTAGCACATCATCCTCACTGTTTGCCAGGGAAAAGAGCTCAGCATCTTTATCTTCATCACTAGAACAATCCCTCCTTTGAAGCTTTGAGTGAGCGGCAATAAATATCAATTTCTGAGCCTTGTCCATTCCCACTCTTGAATGAGAATGGGCATTCACCCATTTCAAGACAGACCAGTTGCACTTAAAACCGCATGAACTTGCACGAAGGACGATTAGCCTAACTGCCACTTTGCCAAGTGACTTAAATTCAGTGAGGTGAGTTTCCCACACAAGTCTACTACTTTGCGGATTTGCAATCTTCATCTTTCCAGTGCTGGGATCCCTTTGCTTCAATTGTACAGCTTGAGCGTACACAGGATCAAGTCCTTCAGTTCTCCATTTCATAAGCTCCATTAATGCAATGTGAGCTTCATCCCTAGACACAAGCCGGGTAATGAGCTTGTCCACGTCTTTCTCTTGCTCCGGTGTCAAACATTTAAACGGAGGCAAGTACTTGCCACTAGTGTCTCTAATCAGATAGAGAGGGTCAAGTATAAATGCGGCAGCCCAGGCAGGATGATAATTCTTGTTGAATCTCCTTTCAATTACTTTCTCTACAGGTCCTTCTGCAACGTGAAACTTCGAGCACCAATCCTTCACTTTCACCCTAAGCTCCTCCCAAAGAGGAAGGCACTGCCCTACACGCGGCTTCTCTGTTTGGATATCCTGTGTCATTGACTTAATCAGTTTTACCAGTGAATGCACTGCTTCCAGTTCATTCCAAAAATGTGGGCTCCTCATCATCTCTTCGAGATCCCTAGCAATTTGCTCTTCCATAGACAATATCTTATAGGATTCATCCAACAATACTAATTGAAGTGCTCGAGCTGAGCTAAGAATATCCTCCACTAACGTGTACACAGGTCCAAAATCTGATCTTTCATAACCACGCAACGGTACTCTCAGTAAACCAGCATGCCCATACTCCTGCAACTGATATTTGTGAAAACTATTTCGAACTTGAGACTTATTATTAACGAAATTCGCAAGTTTTAAACAATTTTCAGTTACATTCTTGAACAAAGGAAGCTCCTTACCAAAATCCTTAACCAAACTATTAAAGGCTTCATACTGACAAGAAACATTAACCATCCAATGATGCTGATCCTCTAAGTTCCTCAAAGCCTTGGCCTTAAACTTGTCTGCAACTATACCTACACATTGGTGCAAATTGTTCCCACATATTTCAGAAATGGTCTCCATAAAAATCTCCTCTGCATATTTCGAATGCACGTATCCACTAGTGAACACTGCTCTTCTGAACACACTGGTCCCATTGGGAAGATTCACAGACAAATTAACCAAATTTTCTTCACCAACATGCCCATAATTCTTTGACTTCCAACCATCGGATGCAATCTGAAAGAACATAGCATCTCGAATTTTCGCCTCCGATTCAACCTTTGCTTCCTCATACTTAGCATCTAGCCTTGAACCAGCAAAATCCCTCCTTGACAATGGTGGCAAACCAACTTGGTTTAAGAAAGCTTTAAACTTTGGATGCTCAAGACTCGAAAACGAGACCGACCCACAACATTCATACACCCAATCAGCAAGATAATCAAGTGCAGAATCAATTTGGGATTTGCTTAATGTTGGACCAGGTGATGCTTTAGGACTTTTTAGCTTCTTCACACTATCTTCCAACATAGCTAAAGCACCTAAATCCTCTTTACCACCTGACAACATCAAATGCTGCTGCCCATACACAGCACTACCACCACCACTTCCCGGCGTACTTCCACCAGTACCAGCGGCAGTGACAATTGAGGTAGCCATTGAAACACCAGGGGAATAGGCTAACTCTACTGCAAATCTTGTTGGATCAACAATAGCTAAAGGTGGAACTTGATACGACGTCGTCACACTCCCTCCAACCCCAACCCCACCATTACCGCCACAACTTGAACTACCCCCACGTACGCCACCCCCACTACCGGAAGAGCTCCGTTTACGATGATTCTGCTGCTGCTGCTGATGTGACGGAGTCGGAGACACCGGCGACAAGGCGACGGTAGTTGACGGAGAAGGCGGCACTGACGAAATGGGTTTTGCAACAGAATTGAAATTGGGACAAGTCCCTCTTTTGAGATGTTCAGAAGCAGTTCGTGAAGGGTTTGAAGCAGAGAAAACAGCGTCGCATAAAGAACAACGAAGCTTGACGGCTTTAGGAAGTCCAGTATCAGAATTCTGAACCAAAATCGGCTCAAGGTGAGCCCAATACCAAGCCCCTTTCCCTTTTACAGCTTTAGTCCGTACCATCACCAACCCTTCATATCTCTTATGCACTGCCTTAGCATTAAGTTCATCGGCTGAGCCGCCGCCGCCGCCGCCGCCGCCAACACCAACGCCGACGGTCGATTCCACAGTAGCTAAAGCAGTAGTTGTATTTGGAGCAGACGCCATTTGTTAAATACCAGAAAAGCCCCTATAATTATTAATGTATGATGATTTTCTTTTTGCTGAATCCTTATGAAATCAAAATGCAAAAGCTTTATGTAAATTTGGTGTTTTCAAGGGGCATTTTGTGAATTCATTAGGCATGCATTTTCATCCGGGGAATGTCTCCGGCAAAGGAGGAAAATTGGGTGACGGCCGGTGGTCCATGAGAGACTCCGGTAGAATCGGAAGAGAAAAGTTTTTTTGGATTATAGTGGTCCTAAGTCATAGTGTTTGGTTTTTGCCACGTTTCTTACCCCGGTTGATGGGAAGTTTCGAGGAGTTTTAAGATTACTGAGAGACAGGAAGAAAGTTCCGGGCCGGAGTTTCGCCGGAAACGGTGCCGGAGAAGTAGAGAGAGAGTGAAAAATAGTGAGAGAAAGAGAGTGAAGATGATGAGAATAGGCTTTGGTCTTAACAGAGAAGGCGCCTGTTTACTGTTTGACGAATGGAACCTTCTAAGTTTTAACATTTAAATATTTTTAAATTATTTTATTAATTATTACTATGTAAAAATAATTTAATTGTGATAAATTCAAATTACAAATTATATGGATAGAACAACATGGAATTATCATGAAATTCCTACTCATATTTAGCATAAATATAGTGTGACTCGTGAAAATAGAATAGATATATTACACAAAATTGAATAATTTAAAGTAAAATTTCAATATTTACATTACTATAATTTTATCTATTGATTTAAAACCAATGAATTTATTTAATAGCATAGTCATATACAATGAACATTTTTGTCAGAAACTATATTGGGTATGTATAAAAAATATTCATAAAAGTATTACCTTATATACATACATATTTAATTTTGAATAGCTTTAACAAAATTTATTATTTGTCCACAAGAGTTGTTGTCCCATTAAAAAGGTAATTAATACTTACTATTTTCCAAATGCAAAAAAATAATGTTGTTGGGTGAAAAATACTCTTTTAAAATTTGGAAAAAGTGTATAAGAGTTGTAATAAGTTATAATCTAAATTTGAAATTTTTCATATTATATAAGGAAATTTTTCATTAATGTAGAGGATACTAAAAATGAGGAGTCATGAATATCTTTTTTTTCTTTCTGTATAAAGAAATAAACCAAAAAATATGTGCATAATTGAAGAATTATGGCATGTTATTAGCAAATTTAATTAAGTGAAAAGAATCTCATGCCATTAATTGGGAGTTCTTGTGGAATTTCTTAAACTTATTTTTTGGGTTTTTCGTCTTGAGTTAAATTCAAGATTTAAATTTATTGAGTTTAATTTTAAATTTTTTACCACTAAACTCATCGTAAAATTAAGAATTCAGATTGAATATTTATTAAAATTTTATTTTCTAATTTGTCGTAATTAAATTTATCAGAAGACAAGGTGGCACAATCCTTAATCAAGAAAATAGTTAAGCTCAATATATTTCTCCTTATTCCAACATGTAATTTGGGGTGGCAATTGGGGCGGGACAGATTACACTCTTAATAGGGCAGGGCAGGAAAATATGTCAACGGGACAGGTTACACTCTTAATAGGGCAACTAGTGTAACCTGTCCCATTGACATATTTCCTTGCCCTGCCCTATTAAGAGTGTAACCTGCCCCGCCCCAATTGTCACCCCTATGGGTTTGAGCCAATCGAGTTTGTATCGTTACAAATCAACGAGATCCGGCTAATTTGAATTCGTGTTTGATTCGTGGATTTGGTGAATGCCCCTCCTTCCATTTTTTTACTATTTAATACATGTATTTTATTTAAATATCTCAACTTTAATTTCATCGACATTTAAAACATGACTAGTATTATTTATTTCTGTCTCTGTCATGGGCCTTTTTTAGTGGGAAAAAGGTCATGTGGGCGCCAGGAAGAGTCCTTTTGTTGTTTGTTTGTTTGTTTTTCCTCAAATTTTCTAATGGGGAAGAAAATTTGTCCTAATAATTAAAAATATATTTTTCTAGAAAAAGAAATTTCTACTGTGAGCTAATTTGGCTTCCCTTTTTTCTTTTTCTCTTCGCGCCTTGTTGTTCATGTGTTGATTGTAGAAAAAAATACATGAAAATAAATTTAATTTAATAAATAATTCCCACCAATTGTTCTTCATTTTCTTGGAGCAGTGTTGACCAAAATCAGACAATAAAAAATGTGCCTGCAAAAAGTTCACCATATCAACTTGCAATAAACACCATCATTATTATTTTAAAAAAAATAAAAATTCAAAAGTTAATTTTTTGATCATTTTACGGGTTGTTCTTACTAAAAAATAAATAATTTAAAATTGTTATTATTTAAAAAAAATTAAAATATAAGTAATTAATAATTTCTAACTTTACTTTTACTTAACAAATATGAAGAAACATTAATATGGTGAAGGAATAAGTAATATCAAATTGAAATTAATAAATTAATTAAATCATCATTTTAATTACTAATTTTAAAAAATTGTGAAAAAAATATGACAAATAAAATAGACGGAAGGAGAACTAAACTTGAGTTGGTGACATAAACAGTGGTAATTGATTTAGTTTTAATGGGTTTGGCTTTTTTGGTCTTTATGCCTTTTTTTCAAAAAAGAAAAATAATAAATAATTAACACACGAGGGGCCAATTATTGAAATGAATATATAAAAACACACAATTCGTCTAGTCCTTATTAATGTAATGTATTTTTTTTCCTAGTGCTATAAATATGATTATGAGAGCATCTCATTAAGAGTAAAAACTCGGAGTATAAAACATTTCCAAATAATGAAATGAGTATTTTTTTTTACCTGATTTGCAAAACCAACACCTAGTAAAACTCTACCAATTATAAGCATATAGATATTAGAAGCAGCTCCAAAAAAGGACTGCACCAGCAAGGAAGTTAGCTCCTCCAAGAAGGATTGACGCCTTGCGACCATACGCTCTGGTGACTGATGAGGCAACAAAAGTAGAAAAAAGACCAGCCACATAAAGAGATGATGTCAACAATCCACTATCAAATTTGCAGTAATTACTAAGTTCTTTCATCTTATAATGTACACATCATGAAAGAACTTTTTCAGAAAAGGCTCCATAGATGTTACTCCACCTTCACATCATTCAAAACTTGTGTTAGTGAAAAAGAATAGATCAATTGATTCACAATAGTCAGTAGAGATAAGTATTGAAAACACCTCTAAACTTGACGTGAATTATTACTTTAGTCTCCCAGTAATAATTCACGCAAAGGAAACATAATTTCTTCTTCTTTTGTGTTCCTTTGTTTTCCCTTGGACAATTGAAACCTTTACTAGCTAGATGTATCATAGATTGTATATAACTTATGGAAATGCAGAAAAATCAAACCTGAAATTCCAATATCATATCCAAAGATTACACCTCCCATAGCAGCCATCATACAAGCTAATATTACAAAACATGTCAGTTTTCCATGATACTCTTCTCCATCATTTGCTAATCCCCCTGCCATAGTTTTTTATTTGTAAAAATTAGGCAAATGACATAGTATAAGAAAGAAATTACTTCCTTTCCCTACTCTTTCATTAATTACCAAAAATCCCTTTTTTTAGTGTTTTTCGGATACATAATATAGCAGCGCGGATACTTTAATTAATAGTGCGGATACTTTAATTAATAACGGGATACTTTAATTTATAACGGGCGGATACTTAAATTAATGGGCGGATGCATAATATAGCAGCACGGATACTTTAATTAATAACGGGCGGATACTTAATCTAATAAAGTATCCGGTTAAGTTGAATTGGGGGGAAATAAGGGATTTTTGTATTTTAGTAAAAGAGTAGGGAAATATTGAGAATAGGTAAAGAAGTATTGTGTATTTAAGTAATTTTTCCATGATTTAATGGTGACTTTGTGTAGTGAATATATTTTTATATGATTTACTTTTATATTTAATGATAAGAGGTTTTCATCCTCCCCTCATGCAAAAGAAGTAAAAAAAAAAGTTTTTAATGATTTTTTATACGGACGATTTTATAAATATCAACTTACTTATGCTAAGAAAAATAATAAAAAATACATTGTACATTTGTTGTGCACAGAAAAAAATTATTTGTATGTTTTATTTTATTCACTACATAAAAAATGATCGTTAACGGCAATTTATTAAAGGTGATAGTTTAATTGTCGTTAAAAATATGAATTCTTTGTAAATGTTCCTAAAATTTATAGCAATACTGCATCCAGTAACAATTAACTAATGACGATAAAAACTCTAACACTCTATATTAATATGTATATTTATAACCATTAAAAATTATTTTTGTTATAGTGATCGGACATTGAGCTTGGAGTTAAGATGTTAAATCAGCTTGGTGTTTTATGTTCTTAATAATAACATAAGAGATCGTTAAGATAGGATGTGGTTGTAGGTTTACCTCGTCTATTTTAATATTTTCATTTATCTCAAACAATCTTTTTTTCATTTATTCTCAATGCATGCTATTTGTATCATTTGGCGAATGTGGTAATTAAATATTTCCGATTTACATATATGACCTATTGTTAATTAAACACTTTACTTCTTATAAATCAAGATGCAACTCAATATCGATCACCGGTGTATATATTTTATAAAGATGTATATTGAATTATCTTCATCCGTTAAAAATTTAAGAGTAATTGCATTTCCACTTTTAACTCTCAATTATCAACATTTAAAAGAATTAATGTTTGACATTTATGCTAAGTTTTATTTATTTAGTCTTATTTTTTCATACTTTAGCATCATTGGACTTGAGCATTTGGTTATAGCAACTAGGGAATTTTCAAACATAACTTTTGTGCCAAGTCTACATCAAAATCAATTTTTTGCTCCTATAAATGGAGAATCACCTATCCCCCTTGATTAACATAGCCCTTCTTTATATATTTTGAGAAGACTCCTCATTGTGGACAAAATGAAATGCTTAATTATGTATTAATAGTTATATTTGAAATATAAAATATATTCTAAAAACTAATCAACAAATTTTTTCACATGTCATGATATACTTTGCACCAAATTAGTTCAACTCTTGATAAGCTGAATTTATGTGAATCAAAATAAATTTGAGTTATTAAAATGACTAGTTATTAACTCGTTCTATCGTCCAAATCAAATGTATTATTATATTTTTATAGACTAAGTTTACCATCTTAATTAAATTCCATTGGAATTCAAAATTTTGGAAATTCAATATTGTTGACCTTTTCTTTTGTAGTCATGATGTAAATTTGAATGAGTTACAAATTTTCTGAAAACTCATTCAATTACATAGTCAAAATAAAACAATCTGTCTATTTATTTTATTTTATTTTTTGTCGAGTCACATATAAATTTTTTGAAAGCTCAATCATCTAATAGTCAAATTAACTTTAGGTGGGATATAATTAACTTTACTTTTTTCCACATATAATACAGTACTGTTATATCCCACTTGGGGT